AACTGAACAAGCTGAAATTAGAAGCTGATTGGCTATTATGCACAGCTGCACCAGATTCTGAGTGCTCCGGTTTTAGTAAATCTCCCCCATAAGTTACACTGTTTAAGTTTGAGTAATCAAATTAAAGGGGAGACTGGGGAAATGCTTGCAGCAGACTGGCGATATAATCTAAGCCTAGGCAAAGTCACTTGACTGGAACTCAATGCCCGCCTTTTTGGAAAATTGTATTATTGCTGTATGCAGGGATGCTGACAGCAGTGATTGTGCATGGATGTTAGGACATCAACAAGTTCCAACTCCTTAACAACCAATGATTCGTCCCTGCTGCTGACAGCAGGAATGAGCTGGTTGTTAGGACACCAGCGGGTGCCAGCTTCTTACATGTAACACAAATCACAGGCAAAAAAGGACCCCCAAAAAAACACATGTACATGTATTTTTGGTGCTACCCTATTGAAGTCAATGGGGCAAAAATTTGCATTGCGTCATTCCAAAGCAGCACAGGCACCATCCCCAAAGTCACATCACAGTAACATTGCATTGATGTGAATGGGCACCATCGAAAACAATGTGATTTCCATTTTCATGCAGTTCTGTGTGGCTCAAGTTGCATCTGAAATCGCAGTAGTGTGAACGGGGCCTTAAACTGCAGCTTTAATATAATACTCATTCAATAAAGTATCACAATTATCCTTTACCAAATATTGTTATAAACTGTGTCTAGCTTCCAATTTCTTTTAATTATAGAATTAGTTTGGCATTTCAACTATAGTTTGCATGTAGCTAGGTAATGGGATTTGCCAACTTGTTTACATTTGTAGCCTTGGAAACCCTCAATAAAAGATCTGTTTCCGGGCAACTGAACAGTCTGAAGCAGCAATGGCAAGTTTCTTTTTTTTTTCCTCAAACACTACGAATAAAGAGGTACCCAGAGAGTGAACTGAAGGCAATACAAATAGATTTAAGGTTTTGCTTTTGAATTTAAAAAATATATGTTAAAAATTATATCAAAACTGTTTTTTTTTTTCAAATTAGATTTAATGGAATTGCTACAACTCAGCAGCAGGTGCTGTTGATAAATCTATCTATCTATCTATCTATCTATCTATCTATCTATCTATCTATCTATCTATCTATCTATCTATCTATCTATCTATCTATCTATCTATCTATCCACACAACACACAGCACCTTTATTAAGTACACCTTGCCACTACAGGGTTGGACCTCCTTTTGCCTTCAGAACTCCCTCAATTCTTCATGGCATAGATTCAACAAGGTGATGGAAACATTCCTCAGAGATTTTGCTCCATATTGACATGTGTTACTGTTGCTTTTCTAACATCTCGAACCAGTCTGCCCATTCCTCTCTGACCTCTGACATCAACAAGGCATTTTCGTCCACACAACTGTGGCTCACTGGATATTTTCTCTTTTTCTGACCATTCTCTGTAAACCCTATGGATTCATGCACATGGGATGTTTGGAAAACACTTCTGAACAATGGAAACTGCTGGAAAACGTAGGTTAAAAAACATCTGTTTAGCAGCGTTTGCATACCGCATTTATGCGCGTTGCGTTTTTAAAGATAACATCAGGAGACCTTCCAAAATGCCCAGGATGCACTGATAAACAGTAAAAAATTAACTATTTCAGACATTTTGAGAAGATAGAGAGAGCAGAAGCAGAGGGAACAGTATGTGATGAAATTACCTATCTTTTCTGGTTGTATTCACTATGGATCCCATCATGAGCATAATGTGGCATGTTTCTACCATTTTTTCCTTCAATTGCAACCGACTGCGCTGGTGTACCGGGTCCATTTGAATACATGGAAAACACTTTGCATGCATTTCTGATGATGAAAAAAGGCTCTGGACAGCATTTGGATATGGAACAGTTAATAAACATTTCTAAACGCAAACACTTATAAACGCGGTTTACAAGTGTTTGGCGTTTGGAACGCTGATAAAATCTACTCCTAAACGCAAATTTGGTGTGTTTAAAAAAAATGACTGTAAACTCAACTGCCTGTAAACGACTGTAAACAACATAGTATATATATAGACACAGGAAAACATTAGGGAGAGTTCAGGGGCTGTTGGAAAAAATGCAGAAAAGCTCCTGAACGTGAGTTTATCAGCTGCAGTGTACATGAACCCTAAAGATGGTTGTGTGTGAAAATCAGCAGTTTTTGAAATACTTAGACTAGCCCATCTGGCACCAACAACCATGCCATGTTCAAAGTCACTTAAATCCCCTTTTTTCCCCATTCTATGCTCAGTTTGAACCTCAGCAAGTCGTTTTCACCACATCTAGAAACCTAAATGCATTGAGTTGCTGCCATGTGATTTTCTGATTAGCAATTTGTGTTACCAAGCAATTGAACAGGTGTACCTAATAAAGTGGCCGGTGAGTGTGTGTGCATATGTGTGTATATATATATATATATATATATATATATATATATATATTCTGCGTTTAAGAAAACATTTTTTTTAGATGTTTTGCTTTGCACCCAAAAACTTATCATAATTGTAGTTCATTGTAGTACATGGTATCAATTTTAAAGTGGTAGTAAGCCGCAGGTAGAAAAAAATAATTAAAAAAATCTCCTACAAGGACATGTCATAATGTGCTAGTATGCATCGCATACTAGCACATTATGAGGGACTTACCTTAAAACGAAGCCCTCCAGAGGCACGCTGTCATCACTGCCAAGGCTTTAATTTTCACCCGTCTTCGTTCCAGGTTTGCGAGCAAAGGCTGTCTGAGCGGGCCAGTCGTGATGATGATGTGCGGGAGTCCCAGGACACGGCACAGTACTCTGCAGGAACGTCACGGGTATGATGTTCCTTCAGAAAACATGCGCCAGCTCTAAAAAAGATCTATTATCTCCTGAACGGGACATGTTTAGGAGATATTCATTTTACCTACAGGTAAGCTTTATTATAGGCTTACCTGAAGGTTAAAGAGAAAAATAAGAGTTTACTATAATTTTAAAGTATATCTAATACCCAAAATATCATTTTTACATGGAGTAGGGAATGATTAAAACCACTGTTTTTTTTTGAAGATTTTCCTCCTTCCATGAGACATAACATGAAGTGTGATAAAAATCAGTTATAACAATTTTGGGTCAGTTTTGTTTAGTGTACTTTAAAGATGGATTCTGGTTTAGTCCCCCTCCTTCCCCATACCACAAGGGTTAAATGTTTGTAGAGGAGAAAGGAATTGCATAAAACTTTCCTGATCCATAATCCCTCAGCAGATGGCACTGTCCAGTGCTCACGGGATGTGGACAGGCCCTCAGCATCCTCATGTACAATACAGAACTGTTACGTCAACCATGTACCTCTGCAGTACATGATTATTGATGATGATGATTTATTGATTAATTAACAAGCAGTACTTATACTACTACTGTTGCAATAATCTGTTGTTAAGGGGGTGCAGGGCAGAGCTGGATCCTTCTGTATGTGGACCACTAGACCCTACAGAAAATCCAAAGAATATTAGAAAAAAAAAAGTTTCCACAAGATGGAAATAAGAGAGGAAGGAAAGTATGAGGAGCAGCGAATAAGGAATACTTTATAGTAGAACTGTGGCTATGGACATTTAAATAGAAGATATTTACATATTCAAGTGGTGACTAATCTTCAGAACATCACCTCTATGACTGCAGGCACTGTGGAGCAATTTACACTCAATTTTACCACAGAAGCAGAGACGTTGTGTTATAGTTGAGCCATTTCACTTTTTTCTCTGCTCATTTAGGGCTGGTGGTTGAGAGGAGATATCTCCTCCTTACCACCTATTTTAACTCTCAAACCATTGCATGCATTTGCAGGACGGTTGTGCTGAGGCCCCATTAACTTGAATGGGTCATGTTCAGTACTGCCTGCTGAACATCACAGGGCATTTTGTTTTTGCCACAGCCACAAAGTATCTTGACCACAGCATATGTACAGCACTGAGCAGCTGCATGTTTTGTTTAGATGGATGGTCAGGAGGATGGCAAAACCACTTCCTTTTGGCACCACCTGCCACCCATGTGAACTTGCACTTACTGTGGACCTACTTTGTGTTAATATTAGAGACTCCAAAGCTGGCAGGCTGCCAACTGACTACTATGAAGGGGGAACAAAATGAGAGATATACTGAGAGAAAATAAACGTGAAAGTATTTTTGTTGAAAATATGAGGATGAATTCATCCAACGTGCCTACAGCTACAGAGGTAAGTGGGGCTTATTGGCTTATTTTGAAGCCTAGTTACATCTCATTTAGAACATGTATGGTAAATAGTTACGTATTTATTGCCTGACTAGAGTTCAAATTTAAAGTGGTTGTAAACCCAAAAAAAATCAAAATTGAAATGACCAGTCTACCTTACATAGCACAGCAGAAGTCTTCTGTCCCCAGTTTGGACAGGAAAGGAGCAGCCAGTCAATTGAAATCCTCTCTGTTTCCCTACAGTGAAAAAACCCAACACATGAAAAAAATGGTGTCGCCACACCCCATCTCCTGTTACTGACAGACTAATTAGGAGTCTCATGCAGATGGCTCCCAAAACAGCTGAGATCAGCTGGAGAGCCTGAGGTGTCAGGTTTTTTCACTGTAGGAAAGCAGAGAGGATTTCAGATGACTGGCTGCTCCTTCCCTGGTCAGACTGGGGGCAGATGACTTCTGCTGTTATGCTATGTGAGGTAGATTGGTCATTTCAATTTTGATTTTTTGGGGGGTTTAGAACCACTTTAGGTTCCTGTGAGGACATGGGACTGCCTACAAACTACAAAGTCCATCTCCTCTATCTCCTTTTTTTTTGTCCCGTTTTATCTACCCATTTTTGTGCATTAGCTACTTCCACACCTCCCTATAGATATACTGCTATGGGGTGGTACGGATGCGCAAAATCGTGATTTTGCAGTTCTGGGTAGGGGGTGCACGTGCAGCGCACACGTGCCCTACCCGTACCTCCATTCGCGGCCTCGGCTCTCAATCACTGGGTCCCAGCCGGTGATTCCTTGAGTTCCTTGAGGCCGCCGAGTATCTCCGACAGGGGAGAGACCTGTGTATAAATAACACAGATCTCTCCCCTGTCAGCTCCTGCACACTGCTTTGTATGGCTCTGCTATGCAGAGCCATACAAAGCAGTGTGCTTACAGTGGAAAGCACACACACAGCACACTGTGAAACAGCACACAGTTAACCCTTTGATCGCCCCTCATGTTAACCCCTTCCTTCCCAGTGCTCTTAGTACAGTGTCAGTGCTTTTTATTAGCACTGATCACTGTATTGGTGTCACTGGGGATGCCAGTGACACCAAGTAAGTTCCCCCCAGTGTCAAAATGCTCGCCGCAGTCCCTCAGTCCTGCTATAAGTTGCTGATCGCCGCCATTACTAGTAAAAAAAAATAAAATTCCAGTATATATACCACCATTTGTAAATGCTATAATTTTCACATATACCAATTAATTTACACATATTGGGATTTTTGTTTAGCAAAGACATGTAGTAGAATACATTTTAAAAATTTTTTTACTGGACATGTTTAATAGCAAAAAGTCAAAAATATTGTTTTTTTTTCTCAAAATTGGCGGGTCTTTTTTTTGTTTATAGCGCAAAAAATAAAAAACACACAGGCGATCAAATACCACCGAAAGAAAACTGTATTTGTGGGAAAAAGGACATAAATGTAATTTTGGCGCAGCATTGCTTGATAGTGCAATTGTTAGTTAAAGTAACACAGCTCCGTATTGCAAAAAATGGTATGGTCAAGAAGGTGGTAAATCATCTGGAAGGCAAGTGGTTAAAGGTGCTTGGTAGTCAGAAATTACATTCAAACACTGAGATGCATTTTCATTAACACAGAGTACACCAGTTTATTTTGTATATAATCTGGAGATCCTGGAATCCACCTACTGGTGATGCCGGAATATATCGCTAAATGCTTCTCACACACAAGAAGCCTGATGTAAAAATTGCCCATATTTAAATCTGGCATGGTAGTTGTAATGTAATGGTTTATGTCAGAAGCAGGGAACTAAATATGTACACAATACATTTATAACTACGGTATCAATCAAAAAAGTATCAAACAAAAATTATATATTACAACTGCACCCTCTAACACATAAGATCTAACTGTCACCCTTGAAGGTGCAAACCAACAATATAACTCCAATACGTTCAATAAATATCCCTAAATATGTGAAACAAATATACATATAATGAACCCAAAAATTATATATAAATGAGCCCAAAAAAATATCCAAAACATTCAAAATAAAATGACATAAAATAACATTTTTTGATAATAAAAAAAACAAAAAACTTATCAAAATTATAAGTCACTCGTGTCCAAAATAAAGTCAATCCAATCTTTGTTTCCAATAATGCAAATTTTCAGATCCTTTGTTATTGAGCCCTCCCATTGGCTCCCAAAAGGAAAGTATGTACCTCAAAAAAAGAGAAAACTCATATAGTGCATTAACTTAATAAATTCAATATCATACCCATATACCATATGCACTGTGCAACTTAAAAAAAATGTGATAATTAAAGTGAAAAATGTGAACACAGTGTAAAAACTGTGATAGTGCGTCACTCTGTGAATGAAATAATCCAAGTGACCATTCAGTGTACACTTCTATAGTGTAAGCCACACGCTCCCACAAATTTGAAAAATGAAAAGCCTGAATAATACTCCTTACAATGTCGTCAACCACCTTCTCCTAGATGTCTTCATGGATTTTAAGGAAGTACTCCATAGTACTTATAGTACTCATGCTCAATGCGAGTGATATATAAACAGGATATAGTGTAATTCCGTTATGGGATTAATAAACATACACTTTATTTACTGCTTACATTAATAAAGCATCAAAACACTTATTCCCATGCCCTCAAACCTCTAGGGTCGCCGAACAGCCTCCAAAACTGTTTGACATGTGAATTCCAATATCCAAAATGGCCAACATGCCACTTCCGGTTCCTCTCCTGTGTGTCCGATGTCACTTCCCTTGACGCATTTCATCACATCCAGGGCACATCCAGGGCTTAGTAATAAGGAGTGTACTCGTCGGACTGACCAGCTGAAATTTATAGCTCTCCTCCCTACAGCTCCAGAGCTCCGGCCGCCATCTTGGGAGAGGGAAAGCCACCCACACTATATACAATACTGAAGTCCTTTCTTGCACGATATTGTAATATTAGTGGGACTGCTTCTATCTATCCGAAATTCAATTGAGGCACTGATATCAACACTCTGGTTCCACCTAATCTATAATGATGCAAAAAGAACGATACAACAATATTTTACACAGCCCACAGAATCCCACACTTGCATATTCCCCATATATACAGAAAACTACACAGGGACATTCCCTAATTAAAACTATGGTGAATACTCTTATACTACATATATATATTATTATATATCTTATGGATACATGTGTGCAGTATATCTACACACCCACATAAATAAAACCAAGGATTCCCTGCAAAGTACTGCACATATCTATACTCATAATCAAATAAAATCACTAATGTCTCCTTCACTATACAGGTGAAACTCGAAAAATTAGAATATCGTGCAAAAGTTAATTTATTTCAGTAATGCAACTTAAAAGGTGAAACTAATATATGAGATAGACTCATTACATGCAAAGCAAGATAGTTCAAGCCGTGATTTGTCATAATTGTGATGATTATGGCTAACAGGTCATGAAAACCCCAAATCCACAATCTCAGAAAATTAGAATATTACATGCAATCAATAAAACAAGGATTGTACATAGAACAATATCGGACCTCTGAAAAGTATAAGCATGCATATGTACTCAGTACTTAGTTTGGGCCCCTTTTGCAGCAATTACTGCCTCAATGTGGCGTGGCATGGAAACTATCAGCCTGTGGCACTGCTGAAGTGTTATGGAAGACCAGGATGCTTCAATAGCGGCCTTCAGCTCTTCTGCATTGTTCGGACTCTCATCTTTCTCTTGGCAATGCCGAAAAGATTCTCTATGGGGTTCAGGACAGGCGAGTTTGCTGGCCAATCAAGCACAGTAATCCCATGGTCATTGAACCAGGTTTTGGAGCTTTTGGCAGTGTGGGCAGGTGCCAAGTCCTGCTGGAAAATTAAGTCAGCATCCCGATAAAGCTTGTCTGTGGAAGGAAGCATGAAGTGCTCCAAAATCTCCTGGTAGATGGCTGCGTTGACCCTGGACTTAATGAAGCACAGTGGACCAACACCAGCAGATGATATGGCTCCCCAAATCAACACAGACTGTGGAAACTTCACACTGGACTTCAAGCATCTTGCAGTGTGTGCCTCTCCATTCTTCCTCCATACTCTGGGTCCTTGGTTTCCAAATGAGATGCAAAAGTTGCTCTCATCAGAAAAGAGGACTTTGGACCACTGAGCAACAGACCAGGTCTGTTTTTCTTTAGCCCAGGTAAGATGCTTCTGACATTGTTTGTTGTTCAGGAGCGGCTTGACAAGAGGAATACCACATTTGAAGCCCATGTCCAGGATCCATCTGTGTGTGGTGGCTCTTGATGCACTGATTCCAGCCTCAGTCCACTCCTTGTGAAAGTCCTCAACACTTTTGAATGGCCTTTTCCTGACAATCCTCTCCAGGCTGCGGTCATCCCTGCTGTTTGTGCACCTTTTTCTTCCACACTTTTCCCTTCCACATAACTTTCTATTAATGTGCTTTGATACAGCACTTTGGGAACATCCAACTTCTTTTGCAATTACCTTTTGAGGCTTTCCCTCCTTATGGAGGGTGTCAATGATGGTTTTCTGCACAACTGTCAGGTCAGCAGTCTTTCCCATGATTGTGATTCCTACTGAACCAGACTGAGAGACCATTTAAAGGCTCAGGAACCCTTTGCAGGTGTTATGGCTTAATTAGCTGATTGGAGTGGGACACTTTGAGCCTAGAATATTGCACCTTTTCACAATATTCTAATTTTCTGAGATTGTGGATTTGGGGTTTTCATGAGCTGTAAGCCATAATCATCACAATTATGACAAATCACGGCTTGAACTATCTTGCTTTGCATGTAATGAGTCTATCTCATATTAGTTTCACCTTTTAAGTTGCATTACTGAAATAAATGAACTTTTGCATGGTATTCTAATTTTTCGAGTTTCACCTGTAATACTATACTACAGTACCAATGGTTAATACATATATGGACATTATTATTGAATTCAGATTAAATATACGCATATTAAAATTATTATACTTATTAAAATTACAATAAAATAATTTATTACCAAATTAAAACTAAATTAATTATAATTCCAAATATACACAAGTATTTACCAAAATCCTTTTTATAAATAAATAAAATAATATATATATATATATATATATATATATAAATACTGTATATACAATGAGGAACAGAAGTATTTGAACACCCTGTGATTTTGCAAGTTCTCCCACTTAGAAATCATGGAGGGGTCTGAAATTCATATTGTAGGTGCATTCCCACTCTGAGAGACAGAATTAAAAAAAAAAATCAGGAAATCACATTGTATGATTTGTAAAGAATTTATTTGTCTTGCACTGCTGAACATAAGTATTTGAACACCTGAGAAAATCAGTGTTAATATTTGGTACAGAAGCCTTTGTTTGCAATTACAGAGGTCAAACGTTTCCTGTAGTTCTTGACCAGGTTTGCACACTGCAACAGGAATTTTGGCCCACTCCTCCACACAGATCTCCTCTAGATCTGTCAGGTTTCGGGGCTGTCGCTGAGCAACACAGAGTTTCAGCTTCCTCCAAAGATGTTCTATTGGATTTAGGTCTGGAGACTGGCTAGGCCACTCCAGAACCTTGATATGCTTCCTTTAGAGCCACTCCTTGGTTATTCTGGCTGTATGCGTCGGGTCGTTGTCATGTTGGAAGACCCAGCCACGACCCATCTTCAATGCTCTGACTGAGGGAAGGAGGTTGTTGCTCAAAATCTCACAATAAATGGCCCCATTCATCCTCTCCTTAATACAGTGCAGTCGTCCTGTCCCCTTCGCAGAAAAGCACCCCCAAAGCATGATGTTACCACCCCCATGCTTCACAGTAGGGATGGTGTTCTTGGGATGCACCTCATCCTTCTTTTTCCTCCAAACACGACGAGTGAAGTTTAGACCAAAAAGTTCTACTTTGGTCTCATCTGACCACATGACTTTCTCCCATGCCTCCTCTGGATCATCCAGATGGTCATTGGCAAACTTCAGATGGGCCTGGACATGTGATGACTTGAGCAGGGGAACCCGTGCAATGCATGATTTGAAATCATGACGGCGTAGTGTTCTACCGACAGTGAAACTTTGATCCCAGCTCTCTTTATGT